CCCCCCCCAACCCCCCACCCCCCCCCCCCACACACACACACACACTTAAGTGACATTATCCAAGTAACTTCACTTACTCTAATTTGCTCCATTAGTGTTATTCGCTATGTAAAGTAGCGCCACAAATGTACAAATTCTTAGCATGGAAAGAAGGCGTGGTGATTTGGTACTTGGTCCCAAATACCAAATATTTATTTGCATAAGCATGGAGGAGGGGTGTGGAACCTTTCATAATATCACACAAAAGGTGAGCTTACATATCGACCCAATTTTTTTTTACTTCTTTATAAAACAAATTAAATATACTGTAATTGAAACAAAATATGAAACCTCAGCAAGTTATTTTCCTGACAAGATTCACATCAAGATGTTAAAACACATTTTGAAGGCTCTTAAACATTTTTTGTGTTTCCTATATAAGGTAGACATTAGTATCGCTTTAGCAAGGAGAAAAGTTATGAAATCCAACCGACTGAAACAACTTTTCTGATTTCAATTAAAAAAATCCAAAATGATATGTTACTCATTTGCATGTTGGTCATTTTCAATAATTAACAATGGTATATTCAACCATTTCTACAGATAAGCTTCTTTCAGCATTTTTCAGCTTTTCAACCAGAGCTCAAACCCTAATTTTAACCTTGTATGAAAGAGAAGAACAGACATACTTTAAGGCTGTAAAAATTCAGTTACCTGTCTATTACTGCGAGGGAGGCGTGCTAATCGCACTCCTGACATGTCAAATAATCTAACCTGTCGGTTATCATGTGGAAGGGCAATGATTCTTTGGCCAACACACACATTAATCCTGCAGAGAAGAGACAAAAACAGGTTATGTACAAAACAGTGAGCCCGGCAAACAGATTTTGACAGTACAAGTTTAAGTTCACTGAAAGTGGTATAGCTGATTTTTTTTCCTGGTAGATTGCATAAGCAAAAGTAAGTGTATTAAACCATTGAGTTATTTTCTGTAGTATTAGATGCTCAAACAGGCTTAACCTTTGTACCACATATGAAAACCTCTGAAAAGCAGTATGACGCATCTATTAAAAATGCTCTACACACGTATTTTACAAAACCACTTCAGAGCTTTTTCCAAATCTAATGAATTTCACTGTACAATCTTAAGTCAGCAAATTAAATTTCTATTCAATGAATTAAGACTAGAAAATGGTAACTCAAAAGTCTGCTTACCTGTTGACTGCAGAGTCTGTGCGGATAGTTGCAATAGGAGACCTCATGTTTTTCAAATCCCAAACTTTTACAGTACGGTCATCACTTCCAGAAACAACATTGTCCCCCACAGTGAAAACTGCTGATGTCACAGTGCTAAACAATTGGGAATTAAAAAATCAAGTCAAGCTCCAAAACTCTTTATTAAACTAGCACCCAATTTAAAGTTCTGTTTCTATATTCCCTTTAAAATGTTTGGCTTGCATTTTTTTTAAACCAAAGTAACTTGAAATATTAAATCTTCAAGTGAGGATTTTAGAATAAAATATATTCTTACAAGAAGCCCTGTCACTTAAGAGCTACAGGGCTACACTGGTGAAAGAGCTAAGAAAAGAAGCCCAGCAGGAGAAAGTCAGTCTGGAGACACCTCTCACATTCCATTTGTCCTAATATGAACCAAATATAGCATTACATATTTTAGGATAAATGTTCGTAGCTCACTCTCGAGTCTTAATTCACTTATATAGTAATGTTCAGTAAGCTATTCAGACAATCAGAATGGAATCAGTGGTGTACAGTAAAATTGTCCTTCTTATGTCTTTTGAGACCAAATTCTTGAAATTTTCCATCCAAACACTTCTTTAAAGTTACCTCAGGCATTTATGTTATTCACAGGACAGACAGAGGCGATCTAAAATTCATGATTTGAGGTGAACTGAATACCATTGTGAAAACACAGCTAAACACGCTATAATACATAGATAGAGCTTCAAGTATAACTTTACTAGCAGTAACCCTCAGTCTACTAATTTCTAACATTCCTATTCTACAAGTAGCTAAAGCCTGATAGTCGTATGAGAAAAATGGCAAGTTGTCATATCAGGTAGCATGACAGCCAGATCTTCAAATTTGCCTCATTATGTCAACAATTGCAAAAGGGCAGCCAGAGAGAGTCTCCCAATAATATTTCTGGTGACTGTAGGTGCAATATGTTACTCTCAGGAAAAGTTATACAAAGAATTTTATTACAGGAATAGTATACTGAATAATTATCATGATGAGGAAGCAATGTTTTTAACCTATTTTTACCTTTTACCTATTATTTCATATTAAGCAATCAACGTTTTTGTACTACGCTTACTTTAGCACTAGGTAAGCTCTCAACTCTTTAAAAAAAAAAAAAAATTGTTTTCCACCTACATGATGTACTAACAAAGCATTTCCATCTCTCCCCAAGATCATTAAAAAAGGCTTCTCAGCTCTGTTTCTATAGATTTGATTTAATGACCTATCTTGTAACTTGGGTCACGCACATCAATTTCTTAGAATGCAGTAATTTTAATTTAAGTTGTCAGTTGTTGCTGTCACTTTGGTTGTTCTGCAGAAATTTGAATTCATGTCCTATCCAAGCTGCTGATTGAGATTAGCACTAGCCAGGTCACAATGGACCACTTTAGGCAAGCCTCTTAATTTAAATTGACACCATATTAAGTTTTAATTAGGATGAAGGCTCACTTTATTCATGATACAAAGTTTCCTAATGCTTTATTAGAGTGCAGCTAAGCCACTAGGGAGATGATTATAATGTGAACCAAAAGGTCTTTGCCTAAGCCTCTGGACTTTATGAATCTAAAGTCAAAAAGTTAAAACATATAATGAAAGCCACAACTGATGACTCTCTGTTATTGGGCGCCTTAACATTTAGGAAGAAAATTCACTCACATCAAGTCACTTTGGGATAGAGCTGGCATGTTCTTAACACAGCACTTGTCTTCCACCCACCTGTCCTCCATAAAACTTAACAACTGCAATCCTCTCTTCACTACTTCTTTATCCAGTATTTATTTCAGTAAATTGTTCCACATACAAACTCTTTTCCTCCGATCCCCAAAAGGGAAAAGGGGGGGGGAAAAAATATACTCTAGCTGGCACCATAGTCAATATTAAAATGCAGCACTGAACGTGAAAACGGACAACCAAAGCATTACTAACTCTAAACACAGAAGAGTTTGATAATATGTGTAAAATTTTATCATGTCTATGTTAGTACTATTTTTCTTATCCCCTCTCTCTCCTGGACTGGAAAATGCAAAAATACAAACTTTGTGCTAAAATTTTCATACCTCTATCCATTTGAAAGAGAAATTTCCAAAGTTGAGTTAAATTGTGCTTACCTTTCAAGAAAATAAACAACATACAAAACAGATGTGTCTAATACTACGGGTGACGATACCAACAAAAAACTAACTTGAAATTAACTTTCAGACTTTCACTGAACTCAGTACCGCTATAATGCATTTAAAGTAACACTGTTTACAAGTTTAAAATTGGCTATTAAATCCCTATATGTTTTAACATACACTGTTCAACTTCCTCGTGCGCTTCAGCAGAAAGAATCCAAGACAGAGAAAAGCACCAGGAAATGAATACAGAGGATTTTAGTATTCTGCTACCAACATAGATATCTTATTTGTTTTCTCATCATACATTTTATTCCAATTACAGCTGTAATATGTTGTGAAACTGTCTTAAAATAATCCTCCAATTTCAAACGCCTTTTTCACAACTCTACAACGCTTTACAACTTCTTCGATCTTACACTGGTTCTCCTTTATCACTTGTCACTGTCAAACATGGTTAAGATTTTCTGACCACATAAAATTCTCTCATTCTTCAATTTATCGTATTTCAAATGAAAACATTCAAAAGTACTGCTGTGCAAACAGAATGCCAATTCAACCCTTTCTGTTCCTGCCAAAAGAAAAATATTTTCAAAAGAAAAATATTCCCTTTTCTGTATTATTTTCACTTTAACTATGGATTCTGATATTACTGGATAAAAAAAAGAAAATGTTTACAAAATAAAAACGCAACGCATTTTGCCTGTACTACTCTCTGACGACCAGGCAAATGACAGCAAGCCAGAAGGAAGACTGCCAGGCCATTTTCAGTGACATCCTTACAGAAGCTTAGCAGTCCTACTCCTCTGCCGATTGCTTCAACAGTTCATCACTGTACGGCAGTGCAGTTTGGAATTTGACTATTTGCATGTACATATGACTTTTTTAAAAAAAAAAAAAAAAGCCTTCTTTGTAAGGAGTTCTGAACACAAAGGCTAGGTATATAACCAAGTGTTACTGGACCCAGTGTTTATGATCAAGAATTTTGTTCCCATAGTTTCAAAGTAAATAGTGTCTGGACACACTGCATAACATAGTGCTAGATATTACGCTTTCAAAAAAATGAAACATTACTCTTCTAGGGAAAAACTATACATACACTTGATTCAATTCTCAAAAACAGCCCATTTTCAATATTCAACTGCAAGCCTAAAAGTTTTAAGTAGCGTAATACCAAGGCTAGAGAGGCCAAGAGCATCTCATTCTCTCAAACTTGACAACTCTGGGGCAAGTTATCAGTACTTGATTGTCCTCTGTCTAGCAGCAGTTTCAGCAGAAACTTAGTGATGACTAAGCGTGAGAAGTTTCTTTATGTGGAATACATTCAGTTGATGTTTAAAAAACAGATACACAGTTAAATTCAAGGACGTGTACAACTAACACCACCGACTTCAGAAAATGTGAGCAAGTGCTGTCCTCACAGCTTTTCTTATGCACTACAAATCATGCTTTGCCTCCTCTGCTATTCCAATTTAAGGCTTCTCTCAAGATGAGACAGATTCATCTTACCAAGTTTAAAAAACGTTTTTTTTTAATTAAGACAAAATAGCAACACGAAGAAAACCTCCTTCCTGCTCAGGGACTAAAACAGGATTTCAGCCCAACTGAAGGGGGAAGGGGAGGACACAGGAAGGAAAGTTTGTATAGGGAGAGAGAAGTTGGCAGGACAGCCAATATACAAATAAACTTTCAAAAATATTCCCTCCCTAACTCCACCCGCAGCACAAAAATTAAAAGACTTCCTTCTGCATTTTCTTTTGACTATTTTTACTTTCTGTTGATAGTAGTCTTCAATTTGTTCTAGGCAAGCTAAAACTGTAGTTAACATCCCCTTGGCTAAATTAATAAAAAGTGTCAACAAGAGATTATCAGACCATGTGTTAATGGAATGCTAGAAGACATTAGGTTTTTAATAACTCAGAAAGATGACAGGTATTGTAGGACATTAAAAAAAAAATGGCAAAGAGGAAGCAGTCTTATGACACTTTAAACCATGGGTCCCATAGGGAGTTTGGTGTGCTACTACTGTTCTCCCGAAAAGCTTCAGACTCCGCCAAACCCCAGCAAAACTCATTTATCTTGTCGCGGGGAGCAGCCGAGCGTGTACTTCCAGCTGACAGCGTGGCACTTTCTCACCACACACCACTGCCCGATCTGGAACATCCTGCTCCCTCCGTGGGTCTCAATCAACAGCAAGACGGTAATGCTCGCACTCCTCATTAGGCCGAACAGCTGTCTCCCCAGTCACACTGAGACACAGAACTGTTTTGCATAACAATCTGCTGAAATTTCACACACAGGGAAAAAATGATGTTGGAAATGTTAGACCATGAAATGCTGATGCAGAACACTTTCTGGCACTACATCAAAAAAAGTTAACACTATTCTTTCCACGCTGATATGCAGCTTATACCAAGATTTGCCATTAAACACTCGAGACGATTTCATTTTGCGCCTGCAGAAAGGCATCCACTCAAGAGCACTAACCTGTATGTTGGACTAGGTATGGAAAAATTGAATGAAAACAGAGCAATTATTCAACATTCCCCTAATTGTAGTTAAACAGCAAAACCTGATTGCTCTGATGTGTCTCATATTTTACATAATGACAATATTTTGTCTAACCTAAAGGAAGCTGCAATTGGGACAGTCCTTTCTAGGCAATAGGTCACTTTCTCTTAAGAGAGCAAAGTATTATCTCCGCACAGAATGGTCTAGAGCTGGTGGGGTAACATGCTGGGAAGCCAGGACATGGGTTTAAAACTGCAAGATAGGGACAGTATGTTGCTCATGTCAAAGGGCTACTGCTGTGGCCATCAGAGCACCATTTAAGAAGCACGGCAAGCATCTCCACATCTGGTTGCATATTAAGGTTTTGGAAAGAAGTGCTACAAGAGCTTAATTCCAAGAAGAGCTACGTGCACAATTCACAAAGTCTGTTTGTGGATTTAGCCTCAACTTTGCCCAGAGCTTTTT